ATTTGTATTTCAATTAGTGAATTATTGTGTAGTTTGATATTATTATTATTTGTTTTTTTATTATTGTATGTTATTTTCTGTACTGTTGTTATTTTTTGGAACTGTTTTTTTTTAAAATGAAAATCTATCGGAAATAACCTCTCTATCTTTGAGATAAAAAGTAAAGTATGCGAACATTCTACCTTCTTCAAACCCTGTTTTATAAAATTACACTGAGTTAGTATTATTGTCATAAATTATTTTGTTCTAGGATTTGCTACCAGTTTGCTAATTGAGGTTGAAATTATGGAAAAAGGAAAAGAATGTACATAGTTCAAGGTTTTCTTGTTAAACTTTGAAATCAAACAGAAAACTTTGCATAGTCTTTTTACTTTACAACTTAACCTCTTTTTATTTATTTCTATTCAATTTTTATTTTTCTATTTCATTCTCCAATTTCATTGCAATTGTCAGAATCCCTTCAAAGTATTAAAGCTATCTTTGAATGCTTTATTTATAATGTAACGATACTATTATAAAAGTGAGAAGACTCAGACTAAAATATTAAAAAAATAAAATTAAATTATAAAGTTAAGCGATAGTAATACCCTTCAAAATAGATAAATTATTCTTTTATCTTTTAAAAGAAACTAAACTATACATAAATGCTAATGTACAAAATATAGGAAGAAACATTCTATTGTTTTCTTTCTATGTCAATAAATGTAAGAAGAAACGTTCTATTATTATTATTATTATTGAGCAGTAATTATTTTCTTAACATGAAATGAACATTTATTTTTTAAGTTCAAATAAGTGAAGCGTGGACCAAATGAAGAGACACAAATAGTGTTAATATATTATTTTTGTAATTAAATGAAGAGTAAACAAAAAAGTAGAGATTCAAGTGATGGGATCGAACTATTTCAGAATATAGAAATGTCGAAAACGAAGAAGGCCAATTTGCTAGTTACTTGACTGTTGGAGGAGAAATCACTGTTAGAAATGTTCACATAGAAGCTCCTCAAATTTCTTATCCTGTTGAAGACTTATAAATTATTTTTTCCAAAAGATCGAGCTTACCTCGTCTCAATTCAAAAGTATGAAAGCTATATATTGTTTCAGTGAGAAAAGAGGAATTCAAGTCAGTGAAATGGTTGAAGAACATGTCTGAAGAGGATCAATAATCATGAAGTCCATGTACTTGAAGTGCTTTTTAGATTTTCAATAAAAATTTTTTTATTCTTTCTAAGTTGTAATTTTGAATAACCTATCGAAATATGTAAGACATATTTTTCCTGAATAAAATTCAAAATCATGAAGAACAAAAAAAAGTATTTTTTATTGAAGTTCTAGCATTACTGTCGAGATTAGCTTTTCTATCAAGTTTGGAGTTCTATCAAAGTCAAGATTAATTACATTTTATGTTATCAATTCATTTGGATTATAAAATTTAAAAATATTTTAATTTTAGTGAATGAATATAGATTTTTTTTATTACTATGATAAAACTTCTATCTCATTTTATGTTTTTTTTTTTGTATTTA